CACTGCTGAGGGGAGCAACGGGCGGGGTCAGAGAGGTCTGCCATGCCATCGGTCACCTCCGGGGCAGGGGGGAATTGAACGCATGCGGAAGCGGCTTTAGATTCTCAGTGCTGTGCTTTAACCGGCTTCGCCACCAGGGAGGGCCTCTCAGGAATTCTTAAAGGAGGAGGTCCACTTTTTCCCCCTTCTTCCCCATCTGCTTATATGAATTTGGATATAATAGCCAGTGCTCTGGCAGCCTTATTATACTATGATGAGGTGCTCATTAGAAGGAGGAAGGAGGAAGCTGTGAGCTAGAAAGTCTGACTTCCTGATCACTATCTGAGAGAGAGATAAAGTAATCTCTAGTTTAAGCCACTGTTACTTTGGTTTGGTGACTTACGGAGCTGAAGTAGCCCTGACAAATACACAGTGAGCTTCAAGCCTTTATTCCCTGGTCCTTCCTCTCCAAACAAACTGCCAACCCTAAACCCTTTTATATGGAAATACTGGAGCCAGGATTTGTACAAGAATTTAAATTTAATTGTAAAGGTAAAAATGACTTAGTTTTAAATTTGAAGCCAAAGAACTTCTATAGGAGCTCCCTAAGAAAAAGCAAACCATCATTACTAAAAACCCCTCTCAAGTGTCCCCCAATTATGGTTTCCAAGCATTCCATATGCTTTTAAGCTAATTTTTGTATCAATTTTTAGAAATTTTAATGTGCTTTCCTATTCAAGCTTATGAACCCAATATTGCTTTTTGTTTTAATAGAAATAAAACCTTCCTTTCAACAGAAAATTTACTGCAAATTTCAATAATCAATATTTTTGCACCTTAGCCCTTACATCATTCTTAGGTTTTCTCCCCCTCTGTTTTCTTTGAAATACTGGCTGAAATAGTGCTCCCTGTTCTCACCCATATACTCCCTCTTCATGGAATAAGAGACCTGTAAGGTCCTTTGTTTCTGATATGTTCTGGGAGCTTCCTTTCTCACTGCCATCCTCAGCCCAGCAAAGACAACAAGCTATCAGCCTTCCTTTTTTTAAAGACTACTATTTATTAGAATTCTACTATTCACTAAATGCTATAATAGATACTTTAAATACTTCCATTTTTTTCATTAATCTTCATACTGGCATTGTTCTCTCCATCCTATGGATGAATCAACCATGATTCAGGGAGTTAAAACAAACCCAATGTTTATCTCTGACGTTCATTTTCTTTTATGCTTTAGTTTGTGAAAAATATTTCTCTGGTTTCCATAAGGCTACATCATTGTATTCAGCTCCTCCTACTTGTCTAACTTCAACTCCACATCTTTTCCTATCCATCCTTCTTCTCTTCACTAGCTATAAAATCAATATTTCAAAAAGATCATAATAATTTGTTTACCTTAGAGAGCTTTGGGAACAAAATTCCAAATGTTACAGAATAAAGTTATTAACAATGTCAGTATATTATCTGACAAAATAAAGTACACAGAAAAAGATACTAAAGAAAATGAAAAATAAAGCAGTTCCATCCACTTCAGATCTAAAAGGTCACAGGATTAAGACCTAACTATAAGTAAAACCCATGATAATCCCCCTCCTTTTATACAAATTTATACAGATAGATTCAAATCTGAAGATGCCCCTTCTGACCATAGTGTTGATCCCATACCCCAAGTGCTTTAATATCAATGTTTTAGAAAACACTTGAGTGACTGAAAAATAGCCAAGATTGTCCATCAGTTGCTCCTCAAGGAGATTCTTCTCCTGACAACTTCAAGATTAGGTTATCGTGTATATATAGAGCACTGTCATGCAGAGAACAGGCACATAACAAATGGTCACCAAAATGAAGGCTGCTCATGACACCACTGTAGCCAGGACAGCAAATTCATTGGCATCCAAGAACTTCACAAATAGCTCCAAGTATAACTTTTCTTATTAGAAAGGACATTATGTGACTTGTGAAATCACACTACATAATAATATTTCAATTCCTTAATATTGTCCATTCTTTCACAATATGAAATCTCCAAAATCAAGGTCATATGGTTAAACAAATCTTCTTTTAAAATTCAAGACTTTTTTATAAGAATAATTCGTTGCTAAAGAAATTTGTTTTTATCAGTCTGTATTATGCTTCATTGCTAGCGAAAATAATAAATACTGAAGGGAGGAAGGACAGCAGGAAAGGCTAATTTTGGCACCCTGGAGAAATGTGATCAACAGCCAAGCAATGTGACAAGACTAAAAGTGGAAATGCATATGGAAAGTATAGTCTCAACGCAAACATACATGTGAACTATGTAGAAGCACATATGGAAAAGATAAAGAAAAACACAAGTGTGAACTGTGTTTCACAATAGAGTCAGGGTCCCACTTTGCTCTAACATTATTATTATACAAATACTTGGTATGTATCAGGCACAGTTCTAGGCCCACATAGAATTAATACTTGGCACTATTTTTAGTCCCATTTTAGCTGGAAAAACCTGAGCACAGAGGTTGAATGTGTTCAAGTTTCACAGCAAGTATGTGGTCAAGCTGGGATTCAACCCAAGAACTATTACATCACCATGAATTATGATTTTACAGAGCATAACTATAGAGCAACAGCTGTCCAACTTTCTTTAACATCACCCTGTAGAAATACATGACTCATTATGTCAAAGCATAAGCAACAGAAACAAAAGTTCCGTGAACTGCTCCAGGTGCAGTAAAATCACATCTTTTCTATTTAAAAAATTGTTGGTTGAAAGGAATAAATTGATTGTACAACCCTCTAATGGGTTATGACTCACATTTTGAAAAGCACTATTTTAGAGGGCAGGCTACAAATAACAATGCAAAATCTCTACTAGGATGTTTGACATCTTAAACAAGTATATAGTCATCACCATTGGTTATTGACAGCCAAGCTCTTGAATTTCACCTTTCAGCCCTGCTTCTTACCTTTCCTTTCTCTCTCCATAAATGACAGCTTCATCTTCACTGTCCATATGGTATCGACTAGACTCCTGATGACTGAGCACATGAAATGTAGCTATCAGAATAGAGACATCCTGGAAATATAAAATACACATCAGATTTCCAAGACATAGCACAATGTATACTAATTATACATTTGAAATAATGTTTTAATTTTAGTATAGTGTTAAATAAAATGTTATTTAAATATTTTAAAAAATTTTAATGTGCCTACTTAAAATTTTAAATTACTAATGTGGCATGTTCTGAACAGTGCTGTTCTGGTTGCTCAAACTAAAAACCTTGGAATCATCCTTTACTACTTTCTTTCTACCAGCAAGTTTTTCTTTCACGTTTTACCTTGAAATAGATCCTATTTTCAAAATTCACTATCTTTACTGCTTTAGTATCTTTTCTCCAACACATGTGAACAATGTGTGAGAGAGAGAGAGCGCGCGCTCGAGCGAGAGCTCACAGTCAATAGTTCTTGCTTGGGCAATTGAAAAAGCTTCCTAACTGGTGTGGTTTTGTTTCCTTCCTCAACACAACCTACAGCTTATTCAGCTATTCCCAAAGAACTACAGAGTGATCCTTTTAAAGGGTTGATCCGATTACATCACACCTCTGTTTAAAAATCCTCCAGTGATTCTTTTTCCCAGAGTAAACGTCCACGTCCTGGCAATGAACCACAAAGCCTTAGAAGCTAGATGCCCACCCCCAACCCCACCCATCTCACTGTCCTCATTACTTACCTCTTTCTTCATCCTGCTACAGCTGCCTTCCTTGAAATCACCAAGTATGCCGCGACCCCAAGGCCTCTGCACTTCCCTTACCTCTTACGTGCACCCTAAATAGTCTCAGTTTGGGTTCAAATGTCAATTACCACCAGTTTCTTCACATTTTAGTTAGAACTGCATAACCCCCCTCTCCCGACTCTTCCCCATTTCCCCCTTCTCTGACTTGTATTTTAAACCTTTTTATCCTAGAATTTACTTATTGAATTTGTTAATTTGTCTCGCACCAATACCAGTAGGAGCAATGAGGGAGAAGTGACTTTGCTTCACTGATGTATTCCTGGCACCTATGAACCTGACAATATGAGGTGCTCAAAAAAAATTAGTCGATGAATATTGAAGCACAATGGGTTCTTAAGCTCAGTTTTGAACCCTATGCCTCGAGGTAGTCTCCGAAATTTACTGGAGGGGACATTTCAGAGCCTTTTAACCAAATCCTGAACCTATAGTTAATTCCACAAGTAAAAAAAGATTCTTCTGCACCCCCAAGCCTTTTGTCCATTTTCTCATGATCCCTGGGTGCCCTCAGAGTCCTGAAAGTGGAGTTTTCCTTTTCCCTCAGGTATAAAAATCTCAGGTTTCTGCACCAAGTGGCGAATTTCTGACCTAAGGTAAGTACAGCCGTAGTAATAAGGAGTTTCCTCTCCGGCTATATTCAGGTCTACGCATTCTCCGTCAGGTCCAACCACACGTGGTCAACACGCCGGTAGTGGACTCTAGAGTGCAGCCAGCCACACTTCCCCTACCTGGTCCTCCCGAGGCTATTCAGGAAGACTTGCTTTGTCTGTGGGGCCATGATGGACACTTAGATGAACAGAATGTCACAGGAGCCTCATTTTAGACCCGGGGAAATGAAGGCTTAGAGAACTCGGGCCAAGAAGACGCAATCGATGCTTATGACAAACATCAACACGAAGGTCAAACCCTAAGGGGCAGGGACACAGGAGGCCACAAAACCACCCCGTTGGGCAGTTCAATGTAGCTCACGGTCTCCTACCCCAGGATTTTCATGTTCAACCACAAAGCCGCAGGCTGCCGACAGGAGGCGCCCCGGCTCTGCGGTGTGCCCCGGCCGTCGCACCTCCCTCGCCCGCAGCAGCCCAGACGGCCGCAGCCTCGCGCCCCAGGCCCGGGCGATCACACTCTCGCGAGACTAGCGGTCGCGGTGCGTGGGCCCGGAGCCTCCGGAAGTGGGGAGGGGCGCTGTCCGCTCGCAGCCGGAGGTGTGCACCGCCAGCCCCGTGGGGTCGTGGGAATCCTTGGGGATCGGCGCGAGGCGGGGTCACGCAGAAGCTGCCTGCCACTCACGCCGCGGCCTCGGCCCCGTCCGATTGCTCCCGCCCCTCCCTTTGCCCTTCAAGGCGCCCGGCCCTACGTCTGGGCTTCTTTCTGCGCCGGAGCGCGCAAGCCTTTCCCCTTTTGCTTTCCTTCCCGTCCTTTGCCCCGGACACTAACACCGATCGGGGCGGCGGGTCCTGCAGTGTCCCAGAAGTCGCACGTATAACTTGATCGGCGTAAGTGCGAGGAATGCCGCTGCCCTCTGGGGGGAAATGCCTGCTTTCTATCTATAGCTCTGTCTGTACATCCTACGTCTGTCTGCGGCTGCTATTCCAGGGACAGCAACTGCTTTCCTCCGGTCTCACCTCCTCATTGGTGGCTTCTGACCCGAATTTGGGATGGGGAGATCTCCCACCTGTTATCTTTGAGCAAACTAATCTCTTGTGAGCAGAAGTGTCATTTGGAGTCTTCAAAACCACTTGGGTTGGCACTGGGAATTTTTCTTCCCCTCAACTCCAGGATTTCCAAAATTTACTGCTTTTTTTCTGAGAACGCTTTAGGGGTTTTTTTTGTTTGTTTGCTTGCTTATTTTTCATTCATAAGTATCTGCAGTACAATCTTTTTCACTTCGGTCTTGCTGTGCTCAAAGGGGAAAAACATCAATTTGCCTTCTCTGGTCTTAATTATAACATTTGGCTTTTGCCAGGGCTCTGCTAGGATTAAGACTCATTTAGAACATGTAAGTTTGACTGACAGCCATAGAGAGTTTAAGAGAATAGTTATTTTCTTTATCTTAATTCCTTTTTGTTTCATAGGGGTAACCCATTCGATTTCGGAGTTCTTTTAATTCTTCTGAAAGACTTCAAATCTTCTAGAAGCCAAAATGGGACACAGTAAACAGATTAGAATTCTACTTCTGAACGAAATGGAAAGGCTGGAAAAAACCCTCTTCAGACTTGAGCAAGGTCAGTAGCAAGTTGTTTGCTTAGTTCTGTCTTTTAAATTTTTAATTTGTTGACTGTCATACTTTTAAGACGTTAGATATAATTTCTAAGGATCTTTCTAAAACTTGTGTTTTAAAAATACCACTGATGAAAGCTGATTTTAGTTGAAAATATTTTATATTTGTCATGTTAGAATGAACATAAAATAGTTCACTTTCCTTTTTATGCTAACTTCCACTTACTACAAAACTTTGCCTATTCAATCAGAACAAGGACCATATTATTTCTATTTGCGTGTATCAGTCAAATTTGATAAATTATTTCTTATGTAACTTTGCATTGGATATAGCTATAGTTTTTCTTTTTAGTGCCTCTACTGAAACTTTGAATAGCAAAAAAATAAGCTACATTTATGTTTAGCAAAGATTTCCTAAATGTGGAGGAAAAAAAAGCTGAAAATATTTTTTTACAGAATAATAAAGTTACTGATCAGGTTGTATTAATATGTTTGAGCTGTGATTTTAAAGGTTAAATTATTTTTCGATAAAACTAAATAGATTGTTTTCTTACACTTTAAAAGTTTTCAACATTGTAACATATTCCACACTTATTTTGCATTAATAATATTTGTGAGAAATATTATTGATGTATGAAAATAAAATAAAATCCCCTTTATTGGTGTACTAACTGGACGTTGATAATAGTAAATATTTTGAGGCTTTTTTTTAAATTCCCAAATATATCAAGTGTTTAATTTTTTACAAAGCAATTTAATCACTAGATACTCCATGCTAAATCTTCATCTTCTTCCAACTTTGACATTTAAGATCACTAAGTACTTACTCCATTTTTGGCTTTCCTGACTCTGCACTTTTCTGGTTTTGATTTTTTCCTATCCTCTTCAGTCTTCTCACTTTTGTGGTGCCTCTTTTCCTGAGCTCTTTCTGTCTACACTGTAATTAAGTGTGTGTATTAGAAAGCAGTCTTTTCTTCCCCCCCCTACTCTCCTGCCCTCAAAGATTTATGCATTCTTAGGGCCTCAGCTATTGCCTCCATGCTGATGACTCCTTTTAAAGGAAGGGCCTTGAGCTTTGCTTGCCTCCTGGAAGCCAGCCAATATCATGGAGAACCAGAATTCCCTGACATAGCGACTGACAAATTGTTTGACTTTGAGCAAATAATGTATTTCTAAGCATTAATGTATTTTATTTGTGAAATGGAGGCATTAACTTCTACTTTTCTACTCACCTGGTTGTTGAGGCGCAAAATTAATAATATTGTCTTAAAAGTTCTAAATAGGTACAAAACATTGATAGATCACACTCCTTACTGTTCTTACTCTGGATTTTTGGCTTCATACCAGTATTAGGCTATAGAATAACCTTAGGATAGCTCCACTTGGATGTGATTAGACCTAACATGGCCAAAAACCATCTTCTTCTCCTCAGAGTTTCTTTCTTATTTTCCCTACTTATTTTAGTGATGTCACCAATTTCATAATTTCTAAGCTGGAAACCTCTCCCTGATAATTTGTTTTCTTAAACTCTCTATATGTCCTAAAATTTCTTTCCAAATGTCTTTGCTTACCTTGTCTCTCTTCCACATACCTAAATATGGATGCTAGAATAATCTTATGCAATCACTTTCCTTTTTATTACTTGATGTCTATAAAATAAAATTTTAACAGCTCTGTGTGGTTTCCAAGACACTATTATGAAATTTCACCTTCTCTAGTCAGGTTGGAATGGAAATAATGAGGAACCCCATTATTTCCCCATTATTAGTGTCCTCCATCTTTAAGGTTCCCCTCTATTAATTCCCTCTCCAGTATCTTTTCTCAAGCTTGTTAAAACTCCACTCTTGTCAGATTCCTCTCTATCTGTTAAATTCCCATATTCTTGTGTCTTATCTACCTCTCAAGAAAATTCCATTTCCTCCATTAAACTTTACTCATTTTTAAAAATCTCCTTTGTTTCCTGATTTCACAAGGAGTACGCAACAATACTACCAGTGTAATCATGTCTAAAGCTTATTAGTTTCATAGTGTCCAATGGAGTTTAAGATCTGCTCAGACAGTCTTTAAAAACTTAGTGCAGTATGTAACAATTAATAAGTCCTTGCTGACTGGTTAGTAAAACTTCAGTTAAAGCTAGCAAAATTGAACCAAGCTAGTTGAAAAGGGCACTGGGAAGATTTTAAGAATGATGTGGATGCCTCTCTAACTCTGGTTAAACCAGTAAATTATTCCAAATTATATAAATAGGAACATACCAAAACTTACTTTGTGCAGTTATTATGTAATCATCTCATTTCAGAAGATAACTGTAATGGAAAAGAAGAATTAAAGAGAAGGAATGTTGAAGAAAAGAACTCATTAAGAAGGCTATTTTAAAAATCATGTCTGGTTAAAGCTAGGGGTTTAACTAAATCAGTGTTGTAAAAGAGGGGCCAGAGTGGTCCCTCCTGTGGCACAGGAAACTTAAGTGCAGTTCTATGAAGTTGTCTGCAGCACAAGTTTGATCCCTGGCCAGGGAGGTGACTGACCTCTCCTGACCCCCCCCTGCTGCTTCCCCTCAGCAGTGTGTTTCAGTTCTGCTCCCCACTCTGTCTCTGGTGAATCTTCTCACTTTCTCCACTTTGGCCTGTACCGCAGCTCTTGTATGTATAAATAAGTAAAAATTAAAAAAAAAAAAAAAAGAGGTGACAGAGAACAAGACGTTTTAAAATTCTCGGGCTATGCTGATCAATTAAATGTGAGGAAAACACTAAGAATTTTTGTTTCTTTCATATTTAGTTGGTCACCAAGCCCTTCTTCATTTTTCTTTCCTGTTGCTTTTCTCCAAGAAAGAATTTCTTCTCATTTTCGAGGCTACCTAGATTCTTCTAATTCAGTAGTGTAAGACCAAGTGGTTGGTTTTTTAGCCATATCACAGCCTTTCTTATATTCCCAATAAAATTTAGTAGAATAATGAACAAAGCCAGTATATTCCTAACCTGGAATTCTTCCATCTTTTATATAGATTATTTAACTTTCAAAGTTTTTTAAAAAAAAAAAAGGAGGGTGAGAAGAAAATGTGCATAAAGATTCTCTCATTAGGAGCTCAAGTTTATATAAATTGGGAGGACACAAGAGGATAGAAAAATTTAGTTTGCAATAATAACTTAATCAGGCTTCTTGCTAGTTGTCTACCACAGGAATATGTCAAATCTCAGTAGTTTTCCTGGTATTAAGAGAAGGAACAAGATAGTCACACCATGTACTGGTTAATTTTAGCAAACTGGGCAACTAATTACGGATTCTGACATACTCGAGGTATTTTGATGTTTCAGTTCTCGTATATAAACATTTTACTTTCAATAACTTGACTAGAGATCTACATAGTGGCTCTGTCCCCTTGGGGGTGTGCATGATCTATTGAGATATTAAAAGAAAATATAGACTCTCTTTTCTATCCTGCTACCTACCTGTTTTAGTTTTTAAAAAGTAATTCTATTTTTTTAATATAGTAACTCCTTAGCATCATCAGTACGTTCTTGGAAACTGACTTTAAGCAAAATGACATAACAAAATCAATTTACCATAGGCTACTGGATATAAGCAAGAGTTCAGTTCCTATAGCATATTTTTCATCAAATAGCCATCCCCAAACTTCTCAATAAAAACCTAAAATGCTGCTAATATTAAACAATAATTGCAGTTTTGGGGTTCCCAGCCCACTTATTCCAGTTAAATTGTTGGGGTAGCCTGGCAACACAGGTTACATGGGAGAACCTGCACAGGCTGCCTTTCTGTTGTGGCCTGCATCACACACGCTCCCACACTCACTCCAAATGGGACACATTGTCCATACCAGTGAGTGTTCACATCAGTGGGATGTGGAAGGAAATTGGAGAAAACCCAGATAGACAGGAAGAGAACGTGCAAGCTCTACATAGGTAGAGGCTCCAGCCAGGAACCAGGGTTTTCTTCTCATCAGTAACAAAATGATGTTATTTGAGGACTTATGCATGGATTGACATTAATGCTCTTAGTTTATCAGGAACTTATAAATAAAAAGATGCACTCTGAGCAAAGAATAGAGATTGTAGTTCTGCAAGGGATTGACAGTCAACAATTTGCAGATTGTTGCCATGAATTACACTTTTCCCTAAACCAGGCTTTATTATCTTAAATTGTAGAGGCTACACTTCGTAATACTTTGTAATGAGAAAAGAGTAACCACACCACATCTTTTACCTCAAGAGATTGTCAGAATTTAAAAAATCTCAGTGAAATTCACTGAGATTTGTCCTTTTTTAGAGTTGAAATATATCTTTCAGTGGCCTGTACTTGGAAAATACTTCCTGAAAAAATAAAGACTAGCTCTTTGAGGTAAACACAATTGTCAGGTTAACTGCTTTTTGTTGAAAATTGCTGGTATAGAGCAGAGGTCAGCCTGTGTTTTCTGTAGTTTTAGATAGCAAATATTTTCAACTTCACAACCATCACTTTTTGCAGCTATTCAGCTCCGTCATTGCCGTATGAAGACAGCCACAGCCATTACCTAGTGGATGGGTGTGGCTGTGTTCCAGGGAAACTTTATTTACAGGAACAGAGTAGGCTGAACACAGTTTGCCAACTCTTGCTTTAGCCAAGAGCATTTTGAATATGTATTTTTAGTAACAATTCCAATATATGTTTTTACCCACATAAATGACTATTGGTTTTCAGATTATCTGTTGAATATATAAATATGGAGCATCTATCTAGTGTGTAAAACAGTTGATATATATCAAGGAAAAATCTGAATTTAATAGCCACATTTCAGAAGAATCATTACATAATTAGTGAATGGGTTTGAAAATTTGTACGGTATAGTCACCACAGCTACCAAGATCTTCTCACATTTTGAGTTAGGTATCTTTGGTATTTTTTTGTAACTCTGAGGTATCTAAAACTGAGTATTAGAATAAATAGAACTTGGAATCTTTGAGTTACTTTATCATAAAACATTAAACCAGGACTTTTAAAAATAATAAAATATATATATCACATGGCTTTCACTGATGTTATCAATGTTAATTTTTAGTAAGAGCTAAAGGATTATTTTCTGAATTAATATATAAACTTAGTTATTTAAAATATTGGGTCTTTTTTGTGAATATTACAATCATTTGCATATCTATAACTTTGGGAATATTTGTATATGCTTCTCTCATCCTCCACCAAAATTCCCAAACCAATATCTATCCCTCTCCTCCCCCATCTCTACTTCCTGCCCACATATTCCCTCTGGTAACCAGTATATTTTTCAAAGTTATGGATTATTTTTGCAGTGTTTTGCTAGCTTGTGTTCTTTGGTTATTTGTATTCCACAGATATGTCAAGTGATATATTAACTGTCTTATGTTCTGATTTATTTCACTTAATATAACAAAATCCATCCATTCTGTCCCAACAAACAGTACTTCATCGTTTCTTAGTTAGCTGACTAGTAGTACATTGAGTATTTATGCCAATTTTTTTTTTTTATCCACGATTCATTGTTGGGCACTTAGCTTGTTCTGTAACTTGGCTATTGTGCATAATGCTGCTATTAATGCTTAAAACCCTTCATATTAGAGTTTTTACCTTCTTTGGTTAAAAAAATATATTTTTAATTTATTTACATACTAACTTTTATGTTTTATAATTTCTGTACTATATTAAAACATCACACAATTATATAGATAAGTACCTGTCTTAGGAATACTTGGTTGGTTTTTTTTTTGTTTGTTTTTTGTTTTTTGTTTTTTCTGAAAGTAGATCACTGATCCAAACACTGTTTTAGAGATTTGGTGTAAGTTTTAACCTTTGTACTGTAAGTTCTCTGAATCCTTGTGTAATTATAAAAACAATATTTGTATAAACTTCACAAGGGACAGGTTACTTAAATATGCTCAGGCAGTTAATCTGATTATCTGTACTTGTTCAAAATGATACCATTTCTTCTGTAACAAATGTAATCATTGGAAAGATATAGACCATTAAGTTAATTTTACTTCGTGGTTTAATTCTTTGTGCAATTATTTCTCAATCTGCCTCTTAATAATTAGAGTTCAAATTTACAAATTTCTTCAACTATAAAATTACACACGTGTATAAAAAGTTTTTTGTTTCAACCAAAATTGGACTTATACTAACCAAACAATTTTGAAATCTGTTGTAGTGTTATGGTGTGTGAATTCTACCTCTCTCCTTATTGCCAGATTTCAGCCACACTTTTCCCCAGAAATTATTTTTAAAAATCTATGTATAAAATACAACAAAACAATGATAGCTGTTTTGTTATTAACTATCATTTGATAACATGACTTTTAATGGCTTTATAATAGTCCAGCATGCAGAATACCATAATTTATTTAATCATTCCCAAGTACTAGCTACAGTGTTATAGTTTATTTACTTATAGTAAATGAAACTGGTGAACATTCTTACATATAACCTATGTTTGTATCACTGATTAATTCCTCAGAAAATGTGTCTTAAAATATAAACCTTATTAATAACCTTAGTATGTTTATGCCAAATTGTTTTATAGAAAAATGTGTGTATATAGCTGTTTGGAAAAAAAATTGTTGGATTCACTGTACAGTATGGATTTTTTACAAGATTACTAACTTCTTTGTTTTTGTGATTGCTAAAACCATTTGCTATGAATAAATTATAGCCATATTTTGACCCAATCCAGAAAACAGATGGATAGAATGGTCTACCCCAGATGTCTGTGTGGTTAATCCCCTTGGTCCCTCTCTCTGTTTATTAGTTTTTTTTTTCCTTTTGGATTCTAGATATTATGAATGTTCAATAGTTGTAGCTCTGGATTTTATTGTCTAGATTTAAAGTAGTAATACGTTTTATTTTAGCAACCATTTATGTTATCTGTGGATCAGTTTTGGAGGCCTGTTGTTTGTTTTTTACTGAGATAGCATTGGTTTACAACACTAAATATGATTTCACACTTCTTCAGGTGTGTGTTACCACACCACACTCACTATCAAAGCACCCAGAGTCCACCACAGCCCACTGGGCCCCTTCCCCACTGCTCACACCTTCACCCCTACCCCTATGGTAGCCTCAATTCTCAGTCATTTGTCTAGGTTTTGATTTGGCTTATTATTGTCTGTTGCTTTGTTTTGTTTCTTTTTATTCCACTAAATTTTCTATATTCCACATGGGTGAAATCATTTGGAGGTTTTTCTTAAGCTTTGGTATAATAGATTTATATTAGTGTTTACTCTAGGGCTACTTTAGCTCTCTTTTTAAGGGATGACTTTTGAATATGCCAGGTGACTAACCAGGCTTATTCATTCTGGCTGCTGAAATATTATGCCTCCCAGGCCTCCGTGAACCCTATGAATTGTTCAATTTACTGCTCTTAATTGTTATCCTCCCAGACAGATGGAGCTGAACCCTACTCATAAACAGCTTAGAATTCAGGGCGACCCTAGATGACCCTAGGTAAATATATAGAGCTCTTTGTATAGCTCCCTTCTCTGCCATAACATACCCTGAAATTTTCAGTCTCCCCTCTAATTTCTGTCTCCTCAACTAAGAGAGACTACTGTTCATGTTCCTCAATTCAGAGATGTCCCCCAATTTGAAATTAGAATTCATGCTTTTCTCAAACATTATAATTCTTCATACCTCTTGTCGAAACAGTTGTTTGATGTATTTTTCTAGTTTTTAAGCATGAGGCAAGTCTAATATGAGTTACCCCATTGCAACTAGAAGCTGACATCTTCAGCCTGATATTTTTAATACACATCATACCTTCGCTCAGAACTGTTACTGGCTCCTGATTTCTGAAAAGAAATCAGAAAACGTACAGTGATCTGCCTGCCTTGTTCCCTTTCTTTTCTCATATCCTGCTCTTCCCTTTCCTACATGGGTCCTCCCCTCATACTGAGCTGCTTCTTATTTCTGGCATGCAAATGCCTCCTTAAACCAGTTAAACCTCTCAAAGTAAAACTGTAGCTGTAATGAGTTGATGCTGTCTTTTCTTTAACAAAGCAAATACCTGTAACACAGTATAGAAGTCTCAGACCTATTTTCATAAAAATAGACTAACTTGGACAAAGTGAAAATATTTTGGCTGTCAAAATTCCAAGAAAGGTTTAAATAACTAAACCCTAGAGTAAGGATACAGGCAATAGTGTGTTGAAGTCACCTGGACTGGTTCACAGGAGATGATTGTGTATATCTCCACCCAATTCCATGCTGAGTTATATCATATTGCTTCAGATGGACCATGCTAAGGTCGTTTCCACTGGAAGTCAGCAGACACTACAAAATCTCCAGCCTACCCTAACCCCCCACACATTTACTTGTTAACCTTTTATTACCCATCCCTAGATTTGAGCAGATGTTAGGAATGACTGGTATCTGGGCCTGGATGCCTCCAGGACTATGAGAAACATGTCTTTCTAGAGGTTGGCATCTCTCAGGGAAGACTGGCTTCCCCTGTCTGGTGAATTAGTTGCCCTATGGTACTTGGTAAGTATTACATATTATCACATACTCTGATACCATGGAGAAACTCACTTTCTCTGTTGCAGTTTCAAATATACTTAAGAAGGGCTCTGTTAGATACCCACCTCTGAGTCAGCGGTTCAGAGATCAGGAAGAAGAGTTGGAAGGGGTTGAAGGGTTCCGCATGAATAGAAATCTGTTTCCAGGGAACGGGAAAAAGGACAGTATACAGCAGGCTGTTCCCTGGTGTTCACTATGCTTGTTAAACTGTAAAATACAGTTAAATTGGGATGTAGCATTATTTCAAAAATAGCATTGCGTGTTCAGAGTGTAAACATATTGAAAAACCGTAGTTTGGTAATATTTTAAATAAAATATCTATTTTTTAATGTACAGGTCCCTACAGTGAGTCTTTTAAAATGTGCTTTTTTTGTTTAGGGTTTGAACTGCAGTTTCGATTAGGTCCAACTTTGCAGGGAAAAGCAGTTACTGTATGTACAAATTATCCATTTCCTGGAGAAGCATTCAATCGAGAAAAATTCCATTCCTTGGAATGGGAAAACCCAACACAAAGAGAAGATGATTCTGACAAGTACTGTAAACTTGATCTTCAACAGGCTGGATCGTTTCAGTATTACTTCCTTCAAGGGTAAGTCAAGTGTCCTGTATGTGAAAGAAAGTTAATTTATTCTATAACTTCATTTTATCTAATGTGTACAGATTACTGTGTGAACCATAGCAGTATAGTTTTCACAGGACTTTCTTAAGATGAAAATAGAACATGGTTATTTTTCTAAACTATAACTGTTAAGGCTCATTGCAAAATCAAAGTATTATTTTTCTAGGTAACAGCTTTATTGCTTTTTATAGTCATTTGTAGTCATTTCTTATAACCTGATTATGGGATGCTATTCATCTAAATGCCCTTGTTATTAACTAGGCCCTTGTTATTAAGTAGGCCCTTGTTATTAAATAGGCCCTTGTTATCTACTAAGATAAACTTAGGTACAATTATTTGTCATTATACCAACATTTTTAGATATTTTATGTATTATATAATTATGCAGAGGTTGGAAAGTATAGAGTATGGCTTTTCCACTAAGCTTTGCTACAACTTTTTAAGTGATTTTCAATTCTTCGAAATAAATATACTTTTCAATGGAACATTGCACCTTTCAGTTAGATGATAAGGTGAGGACTTTTCTTATCATATATTAATTGAAAGATTCTTTGTTTTTTCTCTTAGAAATGAGAAAAGTGGTGGGGGTTACATAGTTGTGGATCCTGTTTTACATATTGGTGCTGATAACCATGTGTTACCCTTGGACTGTGTTACTCTCCAGACATATTTAGCTAAATGTTTGGGACCCTTTGATGAATGGGAAAGCAGACTTAGGGTTGCAAAAGAATCAGGTAATAACAAATTTATTTTCCTTTTTCTTTTTTAAAAATAAATATTCTTGTGATACAGATGTCAAAGTTTTGATTTGCCTTCTTAATTTTGTATACTTAGAAGTAGAATCATATGGAATTATTGATACTTGACCATTTTTAACCTATAAAAATGGCAAGCTACCTGGTTCAACTTAATAAATTAAGAAATTCTTTCATAAAGTGAGATCATTATTGTTTCTAAGATTTCTACTGTAAACTATTAAAATATGATAAAAATTGTATCATAATGCCTAAATTTAGTTCAACAAATGTAGATTATCTTCCATGGGGAAGGCATGTGCGATCTTGCATACCAAGAATAAAATGTTTGAAATGAGTTATATTTTACTATTAAATAAAACATAATATTGATTTTCTGCTCTCAAGTTTAAAATAGTGATATAGCCACAATTATCACAGTGTATCCATAAAAAAGAAGTGAGAAGTTCATTGACACAACTAAAACAGAGTAGAAGTACTGTGGACAGGAGAAAGAGCTCCTGTTTTATTTGTATAGAATGTATTTTCTATATGTAAATATACCCATTCAACAAATATAAATTGAACCCTTAATAGTAACAAGGCAGTGTGTGATTTTTTTTTCCAAATACATTCATCATCATCCCTGTCTTGTGTATGAGCACACTAATGTCCACAGTAATTTAAGCAGATTTCCTGACGGTCACTAGAGTACAGATAGAGTATTGACCCAATTTTTTAACTTCTTTTCTAGTAGCACATTAGAATTTTCTAGTAGCTACCTAGAATTACTTAAAGTTTAAATTTTTATTTTGTGTAATTTTAGATTATTTTTTTCTTACAGTGATCTTTGATTTCTTGTGTTGCAGGTTACAACATGATTCATTTTACCCCATTACAGACTCTTGGACTGTCTAGGTCATGCTACTCCCTTGCTGATCAGTTAGAGCTGAATCCTGACTTTTCAAGACCTAGTAAAAAGTATACCTGGAATGATGTTGGGCAGCTAGTGGAAAAATTGAAAAAAGAATGGAATATTCTTTGTATTACTGATGTCGTGTACAATCATACTGGTATGAGCTTCACTACCTATCTCTATTAATTTTAGTGAGAATATTGTATTCTAATTACTTTATTACCTGTTGTGTTATATAATAAGAATTTTGAAAACATGAATGATACTTAGATGTCCTACTCTTTAAATTCAATTTCTCTTACATGGTAAAACTCTCTTTCAAAGAAAACAAAGTGGAGTTAGTATATATCTATTTTCTACATTACGCCTATAAAAACAGGAAAGTAGCAGGGATATACTGTTCACATACTTTAATTTACAATACTAATATTTTTCAGTCCAGATATCAAATCCTACCAGGGCAGCACCCCTAGAGTCCTCACTAATACAGTTCTATAAACTATTTTAGAACTTCCCAGTTAGTTATCCTCACCTGTCAGAGCAGCTAGATAGGACTGGAGAAACCTCTGTTCATGATCAACTTTCAGTTTAAAACAGTACACTTGACAAACACTATCTACAGTGTATGCCACAATGTAAAAAGAAATCTTAGAATCTCTAATTTGCATATGTTGACGACAAGAATTTTGAGTGGTACAAAACATTTAACAATAAAGAAAACAATTCTAGTGCTTTATAAGAGTTTCCCGAGTAACCCTGGGAACTCCCTGGGAACACACCAGGAGCATGGGGACTTTGCTTACTTGCTATGAAAATAATCCAGCCGCCACAACAGTGGCTGGGCAATCACATTTTCAACAAAGATATATGTGGACATATGACTAGATTTTTTTGTTTACAAACTGCCCTCCAACAGCTGTCCTTTGGGTACTAAATGTCATGATTAGGAGGCTGAGTAATCGCTTTGGATTACTGGATACAGAATAGATTGCAGTGAGGAAGGAATGTGTGGGAAAAAACTATAAACAACAGCTATGCGTTTTGTCTTCAAGATGTTTGGCCCTAATACTAAGAGCCATGTAGAAGTTAGAGCAACCATGGTAGTTACAATGTTTGAATTCTTAGCTTTGGAGAAATACAAGTATATTTAACAGTCCAGAGAAAGGAATCTCATCTCTCCTTGCTACCCACACCCCCACCACATACACACACCCACAGGAAGAAATTCTCACATAGGAAAACAGGTATAAGTGAGATTTTTAATTCCTAAGATAGGCGAGAGAACCTAGAGTTTAGATGGGACTGAAGAAGTACCCTCTCATTCATGGAAAAAGTAAGAAAAATGAAGCACCTTGGGAAATAAATGGTTCTATCCTAGAACCTAAAGCCAATCTCTGGGTAGCCTAACCCAGAATGGAAGACACAGTTAATTTTCTCCTCTAACACAAGGCCACCTGCCTGTAGGAAAAAAAAAAAAAAAAAATGTCCTTCCAGCTTAGAAGGAGCATTCTGGAACAGATCAGGGACAAGACCCTTAACTTCTACCACAAAAGTAAAGTTATTACTACAGTGGCATAAAGAAATCAGTGTTGCTTGCTGCCTACCATCAGTAAATTTCCTACAACAGAAAACTATATGGTAAAGTGGGTGACAGAATACTACAACCAAATAAAATTTTTTCATAGTGCAGTATCATTATAAAGTACTGATATCAAATACATTTAAGGAAATAGTGGTAGGTTTTATTTTATTTCACCTCAAGACTTAACAGAGGCACTTAATTCAATTTAATTATAAGATCTTTCTTTGTCTTCTTTTTTCCTTAAGCTACTAATAGTGAATGGATTCAGAAACATCCAGAATGTGCATATAACCTTGTGAATTCTCCACACTTAAAACCTGCCTGGATCTTAGACAGAGCCTTTTGGCACCTATCCTGTGACATTGCAGAAGGGAAATACAAAGAAAAAGGAGTACCTGCATTGATTGAAAATGACCATCAGATGAATGTCAGTATGTATAGAGAAGCACCACTCTAAAACATAATAAAATTTCATGAAATTACAGTTTCTATCTTTTAGTATTATAAATAATATTTAGGGAAATTTTTAAAATTTTTTTTGTTTTGGAATTTTTCAGTGCATTCGAAAAATAATTTGGGAGGATGTTTTTCCAAAGATTCAACTCTGGGAATTTTTCCAAGTAGACGTTCACAAAGCAGTTGAACAATTTAGAGGACTTCTTACTCAAGGTAAAGGATATGCATCTTATAATTTTAAGTGTGATATTTCTCTAAGTGGATAATCCTAATCTTTTTGTTAACACATCATAAAATCTGTTAGTAAATGATACTTAGGTTATTATGAAATAAACATTTGTTTTATTTTCTGTGAAAAATTACATACTAAATATTAGGAACCAGTAACAGTTGTAATCTTCTTATGGAGAGTAGCATTAAGATATCATCTTTTCTTTTTTTCAGGAAATAGGAAAATAACAACCAAACCTGACCCAGAGCAACACCTTAAGATTATTCAAGACCCTGACTATAGACGACTTGGCTGTACTGTGGATATGAACATTGCACTAGCAACTTTCATACCACATAAGTATGTTTTGTATCTTTTAATAATACCTTTCTGGCTATTTGTGTTTTCAAACTGCTTATTAAAAGCCTGAACAGAAAGTGAACTAAGGTGATTCATCATAATTCTACTACTTCAAATACATTTTTCTCCCTTTTTCTGTGTAATGTTCTATACATGTTCCCATACTTTTATAATTGGAAAATTTTCTTGGTCATAATTGAAGTCCTAAAAAATGTATTTAAAGCCTTGGTGACTTTTGTTAGAAAATTCTTAGATATAGAATTCTTTAAACCTTAAATAATAAGTTCATAGGGCCCGCCTTGGTGGCACAGCGTTTTAAAGCACAGCACTAAGAAGCTAAAACCACTTCAGCATGAGTTTGAGTCCCACCCCAGAGGTAACCCACATGGCTAGCAGAGCTGCTGACCCACCCCTCAAACTGACTTCCTCAGTTGGCCTGTTACGCACTCCTCTCTGTCTCTGGTGAATCCTCTCACCACCCCTGCACCTCTGGCCTCTACCCCAGTTCTGTATGCATAAATAATCTTTTAAAAAAGGAATAATAGGCCCTCCCTGGTGGCGCAGCGGGTTAAAGCAC